ATTTTTGCTAGAAAAAATAGTACTAATTTTAACTACCTCCTTATTGTTTCGACGATTCCTTTGGCTGATGATGATGCCTAAATTCCTTAATTTCTTATCATGCCGGGATCTATGGATATTATCCATCCTATCCGCCAAACCGTCCGGACGAAAGCTTAGCACCTTTTCACCAGAATCGAAGGAGATTACCTCGGAAACAACATTAGCATGAATCTTCCAGTAAAGCCAATCGACAGCTGGACAAGAGGAATCCGCCGACGTCTTCTGGTGGAACCGACCTTCGAATCTCTTCACCCAACACTTTCACTTGAAATAGAAGTAAGCTCAACAATAATAATTCTTAAACAAGAGAGCGTTTGTGCCCTTTATCTAAGCTTACGTAAGCCCAAACTTAAAAAAATAACAATAGAAAAGACGGAATTTGTTAATCATCAGTCTTTTGTGTAGTTTTGGGAATATGCTAGTTGAATTTGTCAAGTTTATTGATAACCAAGGTACTCACAATGTGTCAAGACATTCATAGTCTAGCGAGAACAAGGAAAAACAGAGGGAAGCAATCAGGATGAAAAACCTGAGCAAAGCATCATCGAAATAGATTTATTCTGAGGGCCCTAAAAACTAAGAGTATGGGCTAAGCATAGCAAAAATTAGGTCACCTGCTTTGTTAAAAGCCAAAACTTTTCGTTATGAACTTAATACTTTACAAATTAACTGACATGAGTAGCTTTAGTATCAGCATGGTGGCCGTATTTTGATTAAGAAAAGGGCTTCTTGATGAAAACTAATAAGAGATATAAAAGACAAGCGAAATGTCAAGTCTTACTTTGTGACATATTGGGGGTCCCAAAGGATTGATTTGCGGAAGAAATCGAATGATATAGAGTTAACACAAAAAAGGTCTAGGCGATTTGGCAAGGAAAGCGATGTGGAACTAGAAATAAAAACTAAGAGAGATGTCCTGGACAAACCAGAAGCCGATGCATGAATCACTAAGATGGTGTGAAGAAGTTAGTATGATCAGCTAAAGATTGATAAAAACACTTTGAGTTCAAAAATGGTCTATAATTTAGATTAAGACTGGTGAAAATTTCTTTGAAAGTTAGTGTATTCTGAATGAGTATGATTGACTTGTGTAAAATAACTAAAATATATTGTAAAAAAATTGAGAGCTGATTAGGTAGGTACCCTTTTAAGAGGTCATTGCTAAATCAATAGCTGTGGCAATATAAGGACCTATATTTAAGTAGATGACTCGACCAATTATAACTTTAACTCATCCACTAAAGTGCTACGAACGGCGAGACTCACTGACGATGCCGGCGAAACATTTGGGAATGTACCACGTCCACAGACCGATTTTGGAAATAATTATACATACAATGGACTCAGGACAAGATGCGTTTCTACGTCCACGGTCCGACTCTGGAAATAATTATGCATACAATGGACTGAGGACAACGTGTGTTTCTATCAATCGGTTTCTATCCACTTTCTGGAAATAATTATGCATACAATGGACTCAGGACAAGGTGCGTTTCTATCAGTCTTATACCAATATGACCAAGTTGCGAAAACAAGGTCAAACAACTTCTATACAACGAAAGGAGACTGCGACCACAAAAAAAGACCACACCATCTTGGTCTTCATACTTTCGATTAATCTATGGAAGTAAGATTGCCAAACAATGCACTAATTACAGCCAAACAAAGAAGACAATTGTAAGTCAATCCTGCCATTTGGCATTTTTGAATTGTTGCTAACATTATGGTATCGCTCCCAGATTCTTTTATTTAATGAAGAAGTATCATTTGGACACAGTTAATGAAATACTTTATTACGCCTCCATTCAGAAATTAAAGGAAAGTTACGAGACTGAGAGGCGTAAGCTATTTAAGTTCATAGATCTCAAGTCTAGATTTAGGATGGATTTAGGTGA